TTACACTGAGTCAGTATATGGTACAGTGATAATCAGTATGTTACAGTGAGAGTCAGTATGTTACAGTGAGAGTCAGTATATGTTACACTGAGTCAGTATGTTACACTGAATCAGTATATGGTACAGTGATAGTCAGTATGTTACAGTGAGTCAGTATATGGTACAGTGATAGTCAGTATGTTACAGTGAGAGTCAGTATATGGTACAGTGATAGTCAGTATATGTTACACTGAGTCAGTATGTTACAGTGAGAGTCAGTATATGGTAAAGTGATAGTCAGTATGTTACAGTGAGAGTCAGTATATGTTAAACTGAGGGAACTTAAGTTAGTATATCTTACATTGAGGGATCTTACATTTTAGAACTGCTCACAGGCTTATTGACTTTTACTCTTTTCACAACAGTTTTGACAATTTAATCATGCTTAATATTCTTTCTATTACAATTTCCATTCCTTCAGAGACCGAACAATAACCTTACGAGTTTTGCTTGTTTGAGCTCTTTTGATACATTTGATTTTATGTTTACTATCCCTTATTTCTGTTCCTTTAATCATCTCTTGCATTGGAAATACTGTAATACTACAACTCATACATTCACATTTACTATGATACTTTATGTAATCTTTTAGTGCATCATACTGAAATTATTTAGCACATATTCTATTATGCACCGATCAAAAATGGCTAAATCTTTTTACCCTACCAGACTGTAACTCTTAGCAACTTGATGACGTCACAGTTATTCTATATTGTTCTAGTCACATGACCTTTATTGTCATTGTACCATAGTTGTAAACATCATGTAAGGTAGCAGTGTACAGTAGAAATGGCCCGACTCTGATAAACAAGGCACATGTTGAGGAAATGTAAACACAGCGGATTTACCCTACACAACACATGTATACATGTATATATATTTGTAAACTGCATTACATTTACAATACATATAAAGTACAGAGAAGTGTATAAACATCTTTTTTCTATGTATGTCACTTGTGTGAAAACCATGGTTACCACATCAAAAATTACCAAAAAATGCCAAAAATTGCTATTTTTGACCCAAAATTTGACCCCCGCAACTAGTAATTTTTTTCCTAAGTTCTGTCTGAAATTAAAGATTACCTACCTGGTTGCAGAACTATCTGGGTACCAGTTAAGTTGTAAAAGTTGATTTTTTGCAATTTTGCGTCGTGTGCTGTTGTCAAAATTCTACCTCCTGTAAAGCTAGCTTTTCATGTGTAGGCACCCTTTCGGATTATGGCCAAAATTTTATTCTCAAACCCAAAAAATCTTCTTTTTTTTTTTACAAATGTGAAGCTCACATAGCCCACTTCATCATGCTTATACCAATCTTAGTACAGTTTTATTTTTATATTTTTTTTTACATATCATTATACAGGGTAAGCCATTTAACACTTTAATAGTGACCGAGGAATATGATTCTCCTGACAGGTTTATTTACCAATTCTGCTCTCAAACTACCAACAAAGGGAGGTAATCTGAAAAATGAAAACTTGAATAGGTTTGTAGTTTTCATGAATAAAATTACTTTTTGGGTGAAATATGATGCTTTGGGATCATGTGCATGTGAAAAACAAACAGTACAGTGATACTATGATGTTACTGTCTTGTTTGATGACGTCATAGTAACTGTGATGTCATCCTAACTATGACGTCATCAATGGATATCAAACAAGAGGCCCATGGGCCTTAACGGTCACCTGATATATTTATACAGAGAGTTGATTTTTGTTTTTAACATGAACAGAAATATTATTCAAAGTGACAAAAAACAATAAAACCACCTTATTCAATATCTAGCATGCAGATTTAAGACTGAAAAGTATTTGAAACTAGCACCTCTGATTCTAAACAAGGAAAATGAAGAAATTTTGTTTTAGCACACAGACTCCATTGGGCCCCACCCTACAGCCCTTGGGGGTAGGGATGGCTCAGAATTTACAAAGTATCAAACTGTCAACTAAGGGTTATAATTCCAATCAAGTTATCAACATGTAATATTCAAAGTATCATTTGCCATTATAAACCATAACAAATTTTGCCGCCCACCCCCCTCCTTCCCCAGGGGGAAACGCGATACCCCAGGGTCATGAAATTCGCAAATTTGGTAAAGCACCTTAAGACCCTTCCATCTCTGAAGAGTATTTGATTCTACCATATCTGGGTCTTGAGAAGAAGATTTTTGAAATTTCAGTCAATTCAACCCTTTTTGGCCCCACCCATCAGCCCCGG